GGGGGGGGGGGGGGGGGGTACGAATGTTTTGTATCCCTTAGATGTTAGACCATTGACCACGCGTCCTCGAGAGGACGGAGCATTGTTCCCACAGGATCGATCACCGATGGCCAATCGTTCCTTCCGACGTTGCCAAAGGTGGCTCAAAAATGTTTTCCCTATTCTGTTGTGGGAGTATGGGGACGAAGGGTGTGTGTGTGTGTGTGTGCATGTATCAGGCCCTTCTCGCTGTGCCACCAGCGCCAGACACCACCAAGTACCGGATCGCGAATGCCCCCAACAACACGACCCTTCAAAAAACACTCACGGCTAGACAACCGAGTGCAAAACTAGCTGTCACGCGCACCTGAGCGTGAGAGTAGAACCCGCCGTTGATAATGGACCCCCGCACCACCAAGATGCAAAGCGCGGCCACTTGAGGGAAACGCTGCGCGGGGGGGGGGGCGGGGGAGGGGGCACCGGGGGGATCGGATCCAGGGAGTGATGGATCTCAAAGCCTCCAAGAAAGGTGAAGGCAGCCACGAGCAAATATACCTGTGCGCAACCCCCGAGCATCCAACCATCACATGCATGCCACAGCCCACTCCGGACGTCCGACAACACAGGAACAACTGGGGTTTTCAATGTTACCGCTGTCCGTTTATTGAACTGTCGGCAGCTCGCGTCCAAGCTCGAGCGTAGGTCAGTTTGGAGCGCAACCCCGGCTTGCTGCTCCCTAGCTCCACTGTGGCGTGAACCGAAAAAAAAATGGGAACATCAACTACACTGTATAACGTCAGCTCCAATGCACACTTCGGGAATACGGCCGCAACAAGGAAAAAAAAAAACAATGTTCAGGCAGTGCCCGACCTCAGCTCGATCTATCCCATCCTATCGGATTGGATCCGAAGAGTGACCCACCTTAAGGCGAAAGGGGGGGAGCGAGTAGACGGTTCCAATCAGAACCGAGAGGATCACTGTCAGCTGCAGAGGAAACCGGAAAGGATACCGGTAAACCGGGTAGGCGGTAATGGAAATTACCGTTTTCGCAGAGAGAGAAAAAGAGAGAAAGAGAGAGAGGGAGAGAGAAGGGGGGGGGGGGGACGTGTGAGCGCGATGGCCGCGGGTAGACTACGGTCATGCGGAGAACGGAGGAGGTGGACGCAATGCCTTGGAAACCCAGGCGTGGCGGGAGGGGAAGGTGGTGAGGGGCGGCAAAGGCGGGAGGGGTTATACTCCGACTTGGCGGCACAACGGCTTCTGTGGCCAACTGCAATACATGGGGTTCCTCCGCGACATACTGCGGAACCCCCGTCGGCTTGTCTTGACCTCTCTCTTGAGGCACGCGAGGAGTCATTGTGGCGGCTCATCATCTACTCCTGCGGCACTTCAGATAGCGGTAGGGGAGGTAGACGCCAGCGAGTGCGCAACACCGTGAAGGTGCAACGGGAGAAGTAAATGAAGTAATCCTAATCCTGACCGGCAAGACAAAGCCCGACTGACAGTCGAGGAAGTAGTAACCTTCCTTCGTAGATTTCATGCATGGTGTAGAGTTCATGTAGATTTCATCATACGGACACTCGGTCAAGAGCAAAGAAAAACCATCTGTTTCGAGCGGATGAGAAAAACATCCAGCATGAACGCGAACATCCCCCCCCCCCCCCCCCCCCA